TGGAGATAAATTTTGAAAAAAAAATTAAGAACGATGGAGGTAAGTTTGTCAAAAAATTAAAAATGGTGAAGGTAAATTAAAAAAATATTAAATAGCGAGGGTAAATTTTCCAAGAAATTAAAAGTGGAAGGGGTAAACTTTCTAAAAACTTGAGAATGATGGAGATAAATTTTTCAAAAAATTTCAAAAGTAGTTGGTGTCAATTTGAAAAAAAAATAAATTTTCTGCAAAGTTTCAAATTCTTTCGAATTTCCATATTACCCAACTTCCCTCATCATAGAAATCTAAATTCAACCTTACCACACTTACTTCAATAGAAACACCTCCAAACAAACAAAACTGAATTTCAAATTTGACAAATCGTCCCAAACGTATTAAAACAAACAAAACTTCAATTAAAATATCCCCCTACCCCACTCACTATTCCATTACTCCCACTTTCAAAACCATAAAAACCCCACACAACCCAAAAATCTCCCTCAAACATCCAAGATCGATATTTACCGCATTGTTAACATTGCTGTAAGATCCCGAGAACACCGGAGTCTTGTTACCAAGTGAGCTCAACAGCGGCGCAACGGTGCTTCTCAGTTGCTCCAGTAGCGTGCTATTCCCGGTAAAAATCACCGAGCTTCTCGTCGGACTGAAGATATTCGAGTTACCGGTGTCGCCGTTACTACTGCCGGTAATGCCTGGCGCTTCTTGCGTCGACTCGTTCGCGATCCTCAGATTTACTTGCGGTTCCTGCGCTACCGATCGAGGCGTCGGCGTCGAAGTCTTCAAAGTAGCGTGATATTTCGGCGATCTTGGCGTGATGGCGACTCTAGCACCGTTAGTAGTTGTTTGAACCAAAGTAGTTGGAACCTCCGAATGCCTTCGATAGGTCGCGGTCCTAGGTCTAAACTCCAATTTCTTCACCTGCGTACCTGTTCTATCGGTCGTCGGCAATTTTTCATTCGCAGATTTCACTGCAGATTTCTTCTTCGAGTATCTACTAGTAGCTACCGGTAATTTCGTAGTAAACGTAGTTTGATCATCCTCAGTCCTATCTTCCGCAGACTTTAGTTTATTTCCTTTACTATAACGTGGTCTAAAGGTCGGTTTACCAGAACCGTTACCAAATTTAGATTTTTTACCGACACCTTCTTCCTGCGAATTTACCGATTTTCTCTGCACAGCGTTGTACTTGTTACTCTGCGTGGAAGCGTGAGATTTCTTCGTTACCGCGGTGATCGTCGAGGAATCCTGCTCGATCTTCCCAAACTGCTCTTGCACCTTACCGTTACGCAACTGGTAAGCGTAAGATTTCTTCGGTTTAATGGTGGTAACGGGAACGTAATCATCGATACGTCGATTAGAGTGAAGAGAAACTTTCACGTTCTTACTCGGCACCCAGTCCTCTTCTCTCGACTTCTTTCCCAGACGACCGTTGCTCGGTCGAATCCTCGTCGAATCGATGGTCGTCGCCGATCCTTCTTCAGCGGACGAAGACGTACTCACCGGTGGATTCGTGGAAAATACGTAAGACTTGGTAGTTTCCTCGGTGGTAGGTTTCTCCTCGATCGAGATCGAGGTGACCATACGTTCCGCGATGATTCGTCCTTTCTTTGAATTCGACGATCTTCCTCCGTTGACCTTGGAGGAGTCCTCGATACCTTTCGCCGAACTAGAAAGTTTCGAGGCGTTCTCTTGTTCGCGCGTGCTATCTAAGAAGGACGAAACAGCCCTGCGTCCTGTCGCCGTCGCGGATGGCTTCGAGTACCTGGCCAACTTGCTCGTCTCTTGCTCTAACGCGAACGGTACACCGGTTGGCCTAGGTTTGCTGAAAGAGGACGCCAACGTGGTTGCGTCGAGATCATTCTCCTCGATGTTCAACTCTGGCTTCACTAACCTCCTAGCCAGATCCAGCTTGATCCGCGATCTTTCGGCGAACAGAGCGGCGGTGGATTTTTTCACCTGAAAGGGTCGTTCAAACAGCTCCGTTTTAGGATAGTGGAAAACCTCTGTCGAGTGTAAAGCCGGATCCGGAAGCTCGAGCGGGGACTCTGTTAGTGTGCCACGATCTCGACGAGCTTTCCATCGACAGGAGGAGACGTTCTCAAGGTCGTACGGAAATTGTACAGTGACGACAGATCGGGAAACGAACGACATTTGTTGTTCGATTAGGGAGAGACGACATCGCGCGGGGACGATTTTTTCCTACATGAAGAATAGGAGCTTGAGGAAGCGTAGAAACGAGACGATCCAGGCAGCCATTTGGCTCGTAACGAGCTCGAGCCACGATTTCACTGTACTGGACAACAACTGGAAAGTTTAATCAATGTTATAAAGAGGCTATAATTGTTGTTCTTTTTTTTTTGTCGGTTTGTGTGGAGTAGAGAGAGAGAGAGAGAGAGAGAGAGAGAGAAAGAGAGAGAGAGGTGTGTGAAGACGACCATGTGAACGATCCACGGAGACGGTAACAGGTGGAGAACTAAACGATAGCTGATCGATGGTAACACAAGCCTGACTCCGCTGAAGCTTTTGGTTTTTTCTATTAATTTGTACGCTACTGAATTGAACTGGTTAACTGTTGTCTACTTGTTGTGAGATTGTCTATTGTACCCGTGAAGATAGAGAAATAAGATGGAGTCGATTAATGGAGCTATTCGATGGTAATTCTTTTGAAAGCGTCGTTCAAGCATTAGCTGCGGTGAACAGGTGATATTTAATTGAAAATTTCTGTGTATCTATTTTTTTTTTAAGGTGCAGATTTTGCACTCTATGTTTAAATTTTTTGCAAATTAAGTTCGTCCTTTTGCAAATTAAATTCATCCTTTTGTAAATTAAATTCAACCTTTTGCAGATTAAATTGTTCATTTTGGAAATCGAATTCATGCTTTTATTTATATTTCGTTTCAACCTCGAATCGCAATTTAAAAGAAATTACTCTAAATTGCAAGAATTTCTACCCATTTTGGGAAAAATAGAATTGTTTCCATTTTACTTTTGCTGCACGAGAGAATTCCACAAGATTTCCAAAGTCTAACTAAAGTATCTACTGTTGTTATTAATTTGTCTCTGTGATAATTTAAGTAGGTGATTGATTTTTTTTTCAATTAAGACGTTCAATTGTGAATTCTATATGTGTTGAATCGGTACAGCTTTGCATTACATACAGTAAAATTCATACATTTGATTTGATTTCCATTACGAAAGCTTAAGATAACAATTTTGCAGAAAAACATGATTTGCAAAAGCTTGAAGTTAATTTGCAAACGGGTGAATTTAATTTGCAAAAGGTTGAATCTGATTTGCAAACGCTGGAATTTGATTTGCAAATGGGTGAATTTAATTTGCAAAAAATTGAATTAGATTTGCAAAAAGTTGAATTTGGAGTGCAAAACCTGCAATAAATTTCAAGTTGCATGTGGTGTTAATGTTTGCAATGAAAATTCTGGAGAATGACCTAGAAACAATCTAAACATTGTTACTTCTATTCTTATTCAAAAGAAAGATACGATAGAAATTTAAATAATGCACTAAAATTGAATTAACGTCTTCTAGAATAAGTTCCAGAGTGAATACAACGAAATTTCTATAGAATTGTTCTGTACCGTAAAAGTTCATTGTTGCTCATTTTGCTGGACGGAATTTTTATCGGGAAACAAAGAATTCTTGCCATGAAACCAATCTCGAGGTAATTACAAGGCGGAAAGCCGTTCATTTGTTCGTGATTCGGGACAGAGACAGAATGTGTCGTCTGCTAAGACAGAACTTCATCGACTTTGTGTCAAATCAATTTTCCCTTCCCTTTCATTTCCTTTCCATCAAGCAGAATTCTTTGCTCCTAAAAAAATCCACCACCGAACCTTCAATTCGCCATTCAAACGATATAAGAAAGGTTTAAAAAAATTCCTTCTCACAATTCTGCATAAAAAAACAATTAACTAAAATTTCTATATAATTTAATTTCTCAATACTGTAATTCACACCAATTTTTCAAAATTTCAACCAATTCTGCATAAAACAATTAACTAAAATTTCTTTAGAAATTAACTTCTCAAAGACACAATTTACACCAATTTTTCAAAGTTTCAAACAATTCTGCATAAAAAAAAATTAACTAAAATTTCTATATAATTTAATTTCTCAATACTGTAATTCACACCAATTTTTCAAAATTTCAACCAATTCTGCATAAAACAATTAACTAAAATTTCTTTAGAAATTAACTTCTCAAAGACACAATTTACACCAATTTTTCAAAGTTTCAAACAATTCTGCATAAAAAAAAATTAACTAAAATTTCTATATAATTTAATTTCTCAATACTGTAATTCACACCAATTTTTAATTTTGGTTAAATTAAAAAATCGTGGAATTAAAAATATTTTCAGTAAACATACACAATCATCCTTCCCCTAAAATAACAAATTTCTCTTGTTATTCCTCATTCGCTTTTCTACAAATCGCTATCCTTTTAATTACGACACCTACAACAATATCCGAGCTACCAATCAGTCCATAAATCTAGGACTCATAAAAATTTCCGGAACCTCGGTAAGACGAACGTATCCGACCAGATTTGGAAAGCTTCTTTCGAATAGAAAGAATTCAGCCACGATTCCGAACCTGGATCGATTAAAGTTACCTGCCAAGAATAAATCGGAACGCGTTACGTGCAGGTAGGTCAAACAAACCTTCACTTTCTCCGCCAAGATTCGAAAATAAAAGCAACTAAACGGAAATCGAAAACCAGTTTACAAACTGTGTAACTGCTGCACGTGAGTACGTGGCTTCGAAAAAAACAAGAAGCGTCGAAATTGATCGATAAATTGAAATACGCATGGATCGCACGGGATCGAGAGAGAGAGAGAGAGAGAATAATAGAGCGAGGAATTTCAGATTTTTTGGACCTTGAGAGAACTCCTCGTCGAGGATTCGTCGTTCCTCATGTTAAAGGATTATCGTTCGATCCAGTCATGTTTGGTGTTCGACGATACCATCGAAGCTGTTGGTCATTGACGATGTACCCCAGATCTCTAAAGCATCGAAATTTCTCATCGGAACGACGTCGATTGTTCACCAACCACCACAGGAAAGCTTGTCTCTTTCTGTCGACGTTCCTTTCGTTTCTTTTTTTTTTAATTTTTTGGGTTAATCACACACGCATCATTGTCCAGTCTCGATTGGGTCGTCAATGATGTTAGAAGCAAACGATTACTCAGTTTGTAGCTTTTCACCTCGTCACCGAAATTTATGGATGTTCAAGTTTTCATGCGTTTAGTATCTATTTTGGGACGATGTTTTTTTCTTAGTGTTTACTTTTCTCTTTTTAATGGAAGAAGTAGCGTAACATTTAATTGTCTTGAATTATTCGTATGCGTATAATTGTGCAACATTCTGAACGTGTATGTGTAATTATATTTTGATATAATTTTTAAGAGAGTGAAAAGTAGTTGACACGAAAAGACTGTTTTATAAATAGTTAAGATTGTATTTTATAAATAGGAACAATATTCTGGACAAAAATTCAGGGTGCGGTCGAAAGTATTTTACAAGTGGACACGCATGATTTCTTGTGCAAAAATAAATAATAAGTGCAAAATAAAATTTGTTCATCCGAATCTTAGATTTTGAGAAAATCGTTGAACAGTTGAGCACAGCAATCGTTGAGAACACCAATTTCAGAGATTCCTTAATTAATATAGTAAAAAATTATTGATAAAATTTCGACTTTGTGCTTTTTCGAACATAGTACTAGGTCATCCCATAAGTTCGTACCGAAAGAGAAACATATTTTAACAAAGATCCAAGAAAATTCTATAACGACTATACGTATAATGGACTTTCCAAAAGAACATAGGAAAAATTGTGGAATGAGAAGCCGCTTACGCTTCTTTTTCCTCAAATTAGAAGGTTCGCTGGAGATATTGATCTAAATTACAAAATTCGACACGAACTTGTAAAAGTCAAAACACAATTTTCTCAAAAAATTAATCCTCAGACGGACAAATCTTGCTCTACACTTTTTACTTATTTTTGCATAAAGAATCACCTTTTTATACAATACTTTCGACCACACCCCGTACATGAATATTTTCACTTCTTAAACACACGAACAATTGTTCTTCTTTCGATACATCTAAATTTTAGAAACAATTATACGTACACACATAAATCGGATTATTTTCACACACAATTTTCCTAAACCTCTCCTCTCATATTCAACGAAAACAATCGCTCGATACAATTTACCGAGCTACGAGAACTACATACATTTGTCTCTTTTTTTCAGAAATTTCTAAATTTCACAAAAAAATAACACAAAAGGCCAAGCACTTCTGATCGAAAGATGATTGAACGAAACGATGATTAAAAAGCCTCTAGGAACCGCTCGGTTTCTCCTAAATTAAAAAAGCACGAGAGAAGCTCTACGAGACGCATCGATGAATGGTGGGGAATGGTGTACAGTTGGAAAAACTAAGCGATCACGTAATGCAAATGATTTGTCACTGATGTACCCTTACGCGTCGCAATCCTGTGCCATTTATCAACGTTAAGGGATTCACGACTAAACTTTCATCCGTCAAAATATTCCCTGAAGCTGTGGCTTCAAGGTCCTCAGGCTCGAATGCCTTTGAGTTGCCCCTCGAGCGTCGACCAAAGATACTCTTCTGATGATCCTACACGAATCGTTTCGAATTTCAAAATACAAATTCTATTTTTTCGTTTCTTTTTTTTTTTGTCCTAAAAATACCAATGCCTCGATATTACGATAGAAATGGTACCAGTTCTTTTCATACGATGAGACCATTTTTGCAAATGACTTTGTCGTGAATATATGGTAAGTGATTAATGGTAATCAATTTTGGTAATTCTGTGTTTGTTTTTTTCTTCTTTTTTTTTGTTACATGCATGCTGATTAAGTTGTTTAGTGTTAAACAATATACAATTGCACATGTGTCATTCTGTCGCAGTCAGTTGCATGTTTGTCTTTTTTTTTTCTGTATTTTAGTGATTTAATGTACCATTTTTTCTTTTAGTCTGTTCTGTAAGAACGTACGTCAGCGTCAGCGGTTATGTCTACGTATTAAGTACTGTTGTAATGGAAAGCCGAAGACTGTTGAACTAGAATAGAAGCATAGAAATTACACCTTATTAATTAGAAATCAAGAGAGACTCTATTCGGATGCTGTAAGCTGAGTTTTGAGGGCACTCTGGACTCTTACCTCCAATGGAGCTCTGGAGGTGGCTTTTGGGGCTGGTATTTTCGTGTTGGTATTCTTCTGAAATCATACTTGGCGATTAGTATGCACCTGCACTCTTTGCAATTCTTTTCATCGTCGCACAAGATTGCAAATTTGGATTTAAGTATTTGAGGAAGTAGGGGAAGAAAAAAGGAACTCGGTGGTATGAAAATATATACTACCGGCCAAAAGCTTCGAATCACCTGTCAATTTACATCAATACTGAATCTGCTACTAATTCTTTATAAATCTGAAATTTATGCCGTGGAAACAAATAGCACTTGATCTCATTTCGGTTGATTTGAATGACAAAAAGTTCCTTAAAAAATTCTTAAAATTGCTAACTCTTTTTTTAGAAATTTTTATGTAACTCGCAACGAACAGTGGTTCCAATCATTTGGCAGGTAGTGTATGCCAAATGTGGTTTCACGAAAGGCACAGATAAAAAACGCGAATTATGCGCAAGGTTATGCCAGTCGTTTTTGAAATAATTAACTGGATCGTTGGGATTAGCGAGCAATCAGCGACCTTTGTGGAAATATTTGAACGTACTCTAAATGTCACTTGTTTGCAATAAAAGCAAGGGAATGTAATCTTTTTGTGCGAAGTTTTGGTTACGGAGGACTCGAGAATTATGATAATGCAATCTTTTGTAGCAATGTGCAATTCAGAAATATTAAACAGTCGGTTAATTATCAATGTTATTTTACTGTAAATATTGTACGTTGAAGTTCTTCAAGATTTTCTTCCAGATTTTCAATATGCAAAGTGCTGTTCGAGAAAAATTCTTTACCATCAAAACATTACACTATGTAACAAAAATTCCTGGACTTCGAGTATAATAATTTGTCGTGGCGGAATGGAAAACTGAGAAAGAAATTACGACACCCTCGTAAATTAGCAAACATGCCAGCGACGACAAATGTCCAAAATGCTTGAAATTAAGGAAGAACAAATGTTAATTTTTCAATAAAATATTTTTACCATCTGAGCTGAGGATCTTTTGTTACACACTGTACAGTAAAGCTACTCTTTACGTTTTTAAGGGAGTACACTACTCAGAGGCGTTTAAAATTAAGTAGCAATAGGTTTAAAAATTGAAGGAAAAAGTTTAAAGTTACATTTAGATTCTCTGAGAAAATTGAAACTCTCCATTTGGTAATTACCTGTGAAAAGATTTCCCAAACTTTGCCTACTTTTAAAAGCTTTAGGGCGACGTTACCCCCTTAAGAAAAGTTAAACGATACT